GTTGATCTAGATTTTCCAGCCAATCAAATTCTTCTGTCTCTAATTGTCATTCTTTCTTTGGATGGGGAAAAAATATGACAGATGCTTTGTACTGTAAATAGATTTTCTTTCAACTGTGAGGTAATGTTTAGTTTAGTTTAGTCTAGTTTAGTCTTGTTTTAATATCAGCCAATGGGTTGGAGAAATGAAGACTTTGCTAGCTTAGATTCTTTCTCTTTATTCCACTTAAATAACTCCAGAAAGAAAAGCAAAAAAGTGGAGGGTGATATTATAACTGAATTTAACCTATATCCTATTGGTAAATTAATCACAAAGGAAGTAAAACAACCAGCTGAGATAACAAGAGTTGATGGTAGTTTCACTGAGCCCTTTGTCTACATGTGTTTAATTCACATCTGATATTCTTAATCATTGGCCAGCATGTATGAGGACAGACTTGGGCCTCAGGATCTAGGTGCTACCAGTTCTACTCTACATTTTTTTCCAGTGAGAGAGAATGTGAAATGGTTCTCAACTATTAAAGCTATGTTTCTGAATAACAACCGAGTTTTCTCTCTAGCCACACAGTAGTGGGACGAGAAATACTCAGCTTGCTGTGACTGGCCTGATGGGGCAATATATTTCAATAGAGAATGTCTTGGATAACACCAAATCGTCACAGACGTTAAAGAAATGGCAGAAAGTAGCATATTAGTTGACTTCTTTTTTCACGATCACATTTCAATCTCTGTCTCCATGACTCCTTTGTTGCCTAGGTATAAGAGCCTTGTGCTATGATTTGTCTTCTAACCTTTGCTCGTTCACCCTGAAACCCAACTGTGATGTTGTCTATACTCAGATAATTAAACAAAAGTCATACTAGCCCAACAAGTATTCTTACAACTAAAAGCAATCATACCAAGACTCAATTTATTTCTGAGGTCTTCACGATCTTTCTGAGTATTTTAAGATGACTTCAAATATGATATACTACTTTGGTATCGTTTTAAGGAAAGTATAACTCCCCAGCCCCTAAAGTAAAAATGTGATCTGAATTGCATAATTTGATCACCTCTATTTATCAAATGAATAGATTGCTAGCTAAATCTACATTCTTTCTTTGTTCTGATGGGCAGGGCAGCAATTTCACAGACTTGAAAGAGAACAAAACTGTAAATGTTGTATAAAAGGAAAAATTTAACACTAGCTATGTGATTTAACTAATGGAATGACACTGCAAATGGCAGCAAAACAAGACAAGTCCTTCCATTACTATAAAATAAAACAATTTAAGATGGAAAAATATATTAAATCCTACAAATGAGTAAGAAAAAGTGGTAAGAAAAATCTGAAATTCTAGTGCAGAAAAGTCAGCTTAGTGGGAATTGAAAATGCATGTAATAAAACTAATTCAAGCAGGATATTAATCTTGTGTAAAAAAAGATAAAAGCATGTTAAAGCCCGATTGTAAAATATTAATGTGCTAAACCATCATAAAACTTCACATATGCCCTTTAGCGATAGTATTGTTAATGATGATAAAAACTTATTTGCAAATTCTTCTTTTATGAAGTCTAGAAACTGAAAATCTAAAAAATGAAGACAAATCTAGTTATCTACTGTATGTAAGAGACAGGAAATTGTGAGGTAATGAGGTCTAAGGTGAGTGCTCTCTTGAAATAGGATTGTGGTGCAGACTAAGGGCCTGGTGTAGTCTCTGGAATGACTTAGGGTGATTTGGGTTTGCTCCCTTGTAATATTGGTATATTCTTAGCTTCTCTACCTATGATTTCTCATGTATAGAGAACTTCGGTAACTATGCTTATATTGGCTCACTGAATAACTGTGAGTACTTATTTCTCAACTTTTCATTTCCTCAGAAGACCTGCATAATGAAAAAATAAAGAGAGAATGTTTATCAAGCCTACTTCTTCTTTGGTATTATTATGCTATCAATTCTGAGTTTTAGGTGATAGACAGTCAAAGGACATGATAGCTCAGGAAACATTTTGCATAATTGTAAAAAGCAAAAATAGTATAGCAGGAAAAAGCAAACAAAGGATGATGGAAAATCATTTTGGCTGTATGTAAATCTTCATTTTGACACTTTGGAACCTGATATTGGTTAGTGTAGATCATTACCGTCATCATCAACAACATCATCATCATATTGGTTATGATAGTAGTGGTTGTGGTTGAGACAGGGTCTCATTCTTTATCCCTGGCTGGCCTGGAACTTATGATATAGCTCAAGCTGGACTCTACCTCAGAGAGATTTATTTGTCTTTGATGTCCCTGTCTAAGTGCTGAGATTAAAGGCATGCACCACCATATCCAGCATCTTTGTAGAATTTTTAAACACATATGGCTCATGCTTTCAACATAATTTCAGAATTCCATTTTGTGGCACATCACTGTCTAATTTATTTTATTTTGTAAATATCGAATGTATGTATGTGTACTACTATGTGCATGCCTGAAACATTTGGAGGTCCAAAGAAGGTGTCAGATCCATTAGAACTGGAGTTATGGAGGGTTGTGAGCCCCTATGTAGGTGTCAGCTCCTCTGCAAGAGCAGTAAGTACTCTTAACCACTAAGCCATTTTTGACCCTGCATATCATTATTTAAAATGTAAATCTAATTAGAAATAGGCACTGACTATACTTTTTGTTACTGACTTCATAAACCCGTCATTTAGGTCAGTGACAAAGTGCTTATTTATCATGGATAAAAGACTGAGTGTTTGCTTAGCATGGATGAAGGACTGAGTGTAGTCTTATATCTATCTCCATTGTGAACATGATAGGAACATATGAAATAATCATTCTCAGACTCATGCTATGTACATTTATCTACTATTTCTTTTGACTTTATTTAACCTTTTCTGGTTATCTTTGATTGCTACTTTTATCTGCTTTAATGTCATCAGTCTGCCAGTCTGAGAGACATGATGAGGAATAAAGGAAAAAATGCTCCTCTCACTGTTGTCTCCCCATTTTGCTTTTCTGCCCTTGTAGTTTTTGTACTTGAAGATCCAGAGAGACCTTACACAGCATAACACAGCTCAAGGAACCTAGAATCTAGGGGAAAAAAAACAAATAGGCGAAGATGGGTTGCATAGTGTGGAGATTTCTGAGAACAAAGTCAGTATTGTGTTAGTTACTTATTTCACAATTGCAAGTACATGCATGAAAATAGGCCATGTAAGAGGAGAAAGGTTTGTTCTGAGTATCAGTTTAGGGAGAGCTCACAGTTACGGAAGGCATACAGGTGTTTACGGTATCAGGGATGAGTGACAGAGCCTGCTCATATTTCTGGCAGACCAAAAAGTACAGAGAGATGAATGCTGGTGTTCAGATCACCTTTTCTTTCATTGCCTCTTGTTCAGTTCAGTACTTCAAACACATATATGGGGTCATTTACATCTGGGATGAGTCTTCTCATTTCAGTTAAAATTCTCTGGAAATGTCTTTAAATGCACACCCATAGTTGTGCTTAAGAGGTGAATCCAAATCTAATCATATCGATGATAAAGATGAATTACCACAGGTGCACAACTGGAATCTCTGTACTGAACCTGTGATAATTTCAACATATACTTGCCTTCGATTATAAAGATGGCTATATTACCCTTGAAAGAAACAGAAATCAGCATGGTAACACCTTGAACATCTAAAGCAAAATACAGGAGGAGCTCAAAACAAGTATTTTATGTCACTGGATTCACTGTCTTGAGTTTTGTGTTATTATTTGTATTATAATGACATGTAATTGACATGTCTGCTAATTCATGTCTAAAAATCTAGTGCATAGGTACATCAAATCAACCACTACTAGACTCTATAACTTGTTTAATTATAGATAAGCCTCAATAAAACATAATTTGCATCTTCAAGCTTTAGATATGATTCTGTGATCATGTCATCCTGAATACTATTTGGATTAAAACATCAATAAATGTAAGTCTTCTTAATTTGATGAGATGCTTCTAGATAGGATCACAAAGTATCTTGGATATGATAGATTAGATTTAACAGACAAAACAACTGGTGAGGTCTATTCACTAATTTATTATATTTAAACTTTCAAACATACTAGTTTAGAGAATACACACAGACATTAACCCTGGCTTTCCATTTGACAGCTTAGGGTTATTGTAACTTTATGGTTTACAGGATTTATGATTTCAGAAGCAGTAAAATTGGCGTAATCTGATTATGGCCCTGAATCTCCTCTTTGTATTGGGTTGCTAAATGGGAGGCATGAGGTGCTGCTCTGCTAGTGTGCCACTGATGCAGGGACCTCAGACTGGTGTGGTTCAGTTTAGGGTAGAGTTTTGAGAACTGAAGACCACTTGGCAATGAATTGTGAACTATCCTGTGGTAACCTCTAATGCATCACTTGACAGGAGTTCCCAAAATAGTGGTATGCACCTCCATAGGAAAATGTATAGTTTGTTTTCATAAATGATTCCAAACTGATAACTCAATAATTCCATGTGAAGTTGTGCAAAACACACAATAACACTGCCCTTGGGTTTCCATTTCTGTGAGAAAACAGTAATTATTCTTGCCTTGTGTAAGTCACTGGATCTCTCTGAAGCTTATGCGAGATATGCATCTAAGTATTTCATAAGTTGTTAAGCTTCACAAAGATATCAAATATTACTATTGTGAAAACTGACATCCCAAAGTATCTTTTCTTATAGACAGTATTAATATAATCAAGTCAAATGTCATACACTCTTTGAAGCAATATTTTATTGTGTTTTGATAAAGTAAGCTTTTTGGGAGATCCTTCATGCAATATTAGCTATAGTTTATAGAACATAAGAATCAAAAAATTAACTTTGTGTTTTTCTTCATATTGGTGAGATGAAACGCATGTCATCCTCTGAAGAAAAGTGGATTTCTTTTCCATTAAGTAGAATATTTCTCATGATTCTATATCATGAGGGTCAAAGAAATGTTTATGACCAGGAGTCCTAGTATATTGCTTTTTTCTAAAATTCCATTTTTTTTTTTGTTTTCAGCATGGTTTCCTCTTCAGTCATCCTCCTAGGCACTCTAAGAATTTGTAGGAATATTCAGGATCAGAGAAGCCCAACTTAATCTCTTACATTGTGGAAAGGGACTTTACATCACCTGGTGGTGTCCTATGCTCCCATGTGCCACTAGGACAGAACCCAAAGAGAGTGATGGAATGTCCATGTTGTATCTAAAATTTCTCTTAATACATATCTATAAAAATCCAAAAATACAATTAATATATGATCGTTTTTCATAACATTTCTATTATTTATACTTATTTTCTGAGCTTCATTAAATTATTTTCTAAGTTGCCTTAATCTGGCAATTTATTAAGAAATTTAGTTGTTGAATAAAATACATCGAGGCTAATGTGAATAACTAGATTTCCCAGGGTAACAAAGAGAAAGTAGACAGGAAGCTTTTAAGTTTCAATTGTTGATTAACAACAATTTCTCAGAAGGAAACACACGCACAATTGTTTCAAACTTCTTTTGGGTACTTACTGGGAAGTCTCAGAAATAGAATCATACCAAAAAACATATCAGTCATACATCTTTTGGATAAGAAGTTCTCATTAGCCATCAAAAGCTAACCATTGCCCAATCAGTGAACCAATAAGGAAAAGAATATAGAAAATATTGCAAACATAGGAAGGAAGAACATTTTTAAAAAATTTTATTGATGCCCCTTATTGTGCCCTTCACAACAAAACTTCATCATGTGAATTATATTTAATGAAATATGTATTATTATAGAGAACATAAACTTTGGATTTATCACAGCTTGGACATATCTTCCTTATTTAAAGAATAATAGAAGCATTCCAGAACTTAACTCATCCAGAATCTCACCATGACTTAACACTGATGTTACCTCTTCCTTCATTGCTCTGTTGTTCTCTGTAACATCATGTTCTCTGACTCCTTGATTGTCCTTTGACTAGTGTTCTTCCTGGACCTGAAGACCAAATGTTTGTTTGATGGAGGACTCTTGTCTTTCTCTTTGGTTTCAGGATTCTCCTGTGGGAAACGTAAATCAACATTTATGGTGATTATTCCCTATCTAATCAAAACTTCTTGCTGAGCTTAGGACTCAGAAAGAACAATTGCTGAGGACATGTGTGTTTTCCTGCCCTGTTCCAAATTTAATATGTGCAAGGGTGAATTTGAAATCTTTTTGATCAGCTCCAAACTCTATTTTCTGTTCTTCAATTCAATAATTGAAACTTGATGAATTCTTATTCTTTAGTGCATTATAAACAGCCATTCTAAGGCTGAAGAAATATCTATGATGGTAGTAGCCATATGTACATAATATGTAAATATATATAATTATATATGTTCATATTTATTATTACTAAGAATGTCTCATAGTTCTATGACGAGGGTAATAGCAATATCATTTAATCTCACTAGAAGTCTTCATGACATTCTGCTTTTCTTCAGTCTATCAAAGGGTACATTTGTCATGGAATATGTTCACATTCCTTTGAGTATAGTCAATTTAGTGATCTTCTGGTATACTGTTTCATGTTCTCTGTGGTTGGCATGACATAGGTTAAGATAAAGCATAGTTAACAATACACCAGAATTTACTAGATGGAGTCTATTTTCATGGTTTTAAGGCTATCTGAGTTGTGAACTTTCTGAACTATGTTAATTGAATTTTAGGTTTTATTAGATTCCTTATCTGATGAAGTTTTAAGTAAGAAATTATAATTAGAATATATAAGTGAGTTAAACAATTCCCCTATTAGAAACTAAAAAGACAGCATGTTTCTTGTCATTTCTCCTAAGGGATACTAGAGATTTGAAATTCCATTTCACCAACATGGATATTATCCAAAATTCTGCTATAATAAAATATATGTTCAGTTGGGGTGTAAAGATAAAAACCAAAGAACTGTTTATGTATCAAAAATCAAAGATGGTTCATAAGGCAAACATAATTATCATATTCTCAGTCATCAAAAGAAAGCATATGATATATAGATAACATTGACCCAGCTACAGTTCAAGACAGAGTCTAAACTTTGGATTAAGAGTGGAAATTTTGAAATGTGACAGAGGCTGAGCAAAACTATCTAAGTGATGACTACTGATCCTCAAAAAAAAAAAAAAAAATCAGTGGTTTTCTAGGCAAAGAGATAGACATCTGAAATTTTATATTCTACCCAAGTTTGACCAGGTCAAAATTTAAACCCAATTCCTTCTGTTTGTCCATAAAACTTGTGCTATTTCTGGTAATTAATAGAAAGATGTAATTTTTATGTGTTCACAAATAGTTAATTGGATTCTTATTTGGAGCCAAAAAGAATACTTATAAGGAACAAGTTATTGGTATTTACACTCAAAGAGTTCATAAAGTAGTGTCTGGGAAAAGATAGAGGTAAGTATTCTTGGTAGGAAGAATAGCAAGATAGCCATCAGTATGGGAAAAAGAATACCACATTCAGGAAGTAGGAACTTGGGTGTTTTTATTGCAGACTAAGTCAAGGGATGGGAAGATTCATGTGGCCAGTTTATAAAGAGAATGAATTTGAACTTAATGTGCTATGGGGAGACATGCCAGTGTTCTGAGAAGCATAACTACTGACATGTAATTATATTCTTGGATGATTAACCTGACATTAGAATATAAAATAATACATACATGGGAGAGGAAATTGAAAAACAGATTATTGTAAAAGGTTATTAAAACATGTGGATAGTGATCTTAGAAAGATTGATGGGGACTATTCAAGGTAGCAGAGAAAATACATCTGATTCACAGACCACCATAAGCTTGAGGACTCATGGTTGATCCTCAAAAAATATATTTCAGCTTGACTTGTTGGACCAAACTGTTGTCATAGCACTCAGGAAGGAGAATCAGGAGAATTAGGAGTTGAAGTCATCTGTGGTTTCAAAAAAAAATTTGACTTCAACATGGACTATATCTTCCAGAAAGAAAACAACAGGACAACAGTAGTTTGAAATGTGGTTGTTCTGAAGCCTATAGCTTTGAGGAAGCAATGCTATCATTTAAATTCAAACTACCTATTTTTCTCTTTTCATTTTTCCTGACATAGGGTCTCACTCTAACCCCAAAATGACATGAGTGAAGTTTACTCTGTATACCATACTGTCCTCAAACTCACAGTCATCCTTTTAGTTTAGCCTCCTGGATTTTAGCATTAGAAGCATGAGCCACAATACCCAGCCCAAATTACTTTTAACACACAATCACCATTGATTCTTGAAAATAAATATATTTGGAATAATAGTTTGTGCATTCTAACTGGTGACTCATTCCTTAAAGCACATGGATCTTTCTGATAGGCTATCCACCTGTATAGTCAAACACCAGGCTTGAGGTTAGATCCTACATTTGTTGGTAGAGTAGCTTAAATTCTAGGCTCCTTTATTTAATCATGTTTTTAAATATATATTTCTACATTTTGGATTGAACCCAAGACTTGAGATTTATAAGGATTTTCCTGTTTGGAAAAGTATATAATAATAATAATAATAATAATAATAATGATAATTTGACTTACTTTCTTGGCTGTTACATAATTTTTTGAATGAGATTCTAATGCAATTTCTCTAGATAATAAATAAGCTTCTGTACTTTTAATGGTAGAGGTACTTTTCTTTATGTCTCCTAGTAGTCTTCACATTGCTGCTTTAAACTTTCAGTCAGAGCTAGATTGTTTGAATATTTGGACACATAGAGGAGTCTGGCAGAAGATTGGTCCTTCTCCTAGCAGTTTTCCTCTGCAACAACTCTGAGTACATATTTAGACCTAAATTATACTCCAGGATCAAAAGGGCAAGAAAGAAGTACCAGATAGATTCAAGAACTAAGAAGTAAAGCATAGACACGTTTTTTTCTGGTAACTTTCTGCTGGAGATTCTTTAAGGTATACCATAACATAAAGATGTAAAAACTACAAAGTAAAAGTTTCCTAGTGAAGCAAGAGTGTAGGCTACAGAATCTAAAGTATAATTTCACAAAACAGATGTTTCATTTACTGTGTCTAGGGGCCATAGGACAGAAGAAAAAAAAAAGAGAGCATGTAGGTATTTTATGGCTTATGATGAAGAAAATAACAGTTTCCTGTGGCATGATATTAGTGTTCAAAAAGGAAAGACATAGGGCTCAGAGGAAGAGGCAAAGCTGCGTATGTTTATCCACAATTATTTATTAAGCACGTGAATAGCACTAAGAGAAACAGGGAGTAAACCTCAGGTAAAGATGTTTTGAACACTGATGAAACTCATAGACATTGAAAGAATAAAAGCACATGATAAATCGTGTTTCTTAGAAATGCAAAACACAAACAACATGCTAGTTTTAAGCTCGAAGGAGAATGGTTAATTTCTGAATACGCTTTCACTAACTTAAAACGTATTCGTTTCCATAACAGATAGGAGACAAAGGTAATTTTGAAAATAAGAAAAAAAGAAAGAAATGCATTGGAAGGGGGCATGGTGGAAAGGACGTGAAGGGAGTTGGAGGGGGAACGTAGGGGTAGATATAATCATATTCCATTGTGTACATGTATACAATTCTCAAAAATGAAAAACAAATGGGATAAAAATCTGTAAGCTTGATTTGTGTTTAGCTGAATAATCTTCATTCTAAAAACAATTTTCTTTAATTGTTCAAGATGTTTATCACGTGAGTAGTGATTCTGAGGGAATTAAACAGCTTTCTAAAAGTCTCAATAGTGAGTCTTTGTCTTTTAGTGTCATGGTGAACACTATTAAAAAGAATTAAATTCTACACAAAGGCTAAGGATATTTGAAGCAATCTACAGAGATACAAGCAGATTGGAAACAAAACCAGAAGAATTTAGCTGGATCAACATTCGGACGCAGCAAATAAAAAGGGATTGGCAGTGCATTTCCTGGTGGAGCTCAGAGAAAGGGAAGCTAAGGAGTGAACATTAGTAGGGAGACTCAGCTGAAAGCCTAGAGCATCTGCTTCCCACGCTCTAACCTCAGACACCAATTCACTCATCCTGCCAATATTCAAAATGCTTCCTCATCTTGACTCATACATTTATTGTTACCATGTGAGATTTATGCATAAACATGTAGCTAGCACCTAGGAAAGACTAAACAAAGAAGGTTCACACACAACCAGAAAGGGTGAGACAGAGAGCAATTGGAGACAAGGTGGGTGAAGAAAAGAGAGG